ATTAAGAGACCCTTAATTATCTACCATGATCTTTTCTCTATGAAGATAAATGACAAAATAATTTTGTAAAGAGAAACCTTACATCACATTCACCTTCAATTGTCAAATCCAATTACCATATGCAGTATCTATTTCTTAATATTGCTCTTCAAACTCCAAACGTTTAACGCTGGACAAAGTGTTGGGTAACACCCTTCAACACGAACAGTTTGAACCGCTTGTCAAGACGTCGCGAAGGAGTGCGTTCGCAAGAACGCTTTCAAAGTTGCATTCGCGTCCATTAAACGTTACGCAAACGGCGTCATTTGACAGGATAATGACCGTTACGTCTCAACGCGGAAAACAAGCATGATATGGCGTAAACAAGCCATTCAGTAATCAGTATTGTTGGACATTAGTGAGGGCGTCTGGTCATGTCCACCAGCTTGCGAACCGTTGAGGTGTGATACGCAAGCTGGTCATTTTCATCTCATCACACAGGCCCGTGTCCNCTATTTTGGTCTGTGAGAAAAAATATATAAAATTAATAAATACGCTGAAACAAGTTTTTCTAGTAACAAGTCTTTTAGGTGAAATAAGTGATGGCTTCTGTGAGAAAATACCGTAATATACCACCCCTCCCTCTCTTCTCTAGGATAAAAAAAACAATAATTACTTTCCCATTTACTTGTGCCACACCACAATTATTTAACATATAACTCTTTTTCACATCACAAGACAAGTTTCATTAGAAAAAATCGTTTTTGTAATATAATTGCTGAAACAAGTTGCTCTGATTCATTAGATTGCATACAACAGGTAAATCTGGCTCCCCCCCCCCCACATATAATTCATTAAAAATACTAAGATATAATGCCTCAAACCAAATAATATTTTTCCATGCAACAAATATATGCATAAACTTTATAATAGCAAATTATTAAAAAAATTTGAGGATGGGCACTTTGCCAATGGTTATTCGCACTCATCCTTTGCAGGAAGATGTCTTGCCTATCACTGAAGATTGGTGACATTCTGGTTATCAGTCATAGTTGGTAAAGATGAGATGGGACTTAACCTAGTGAATCCATCTTAGAGAACATTCACAACAGATGATCCTCGGATATACTGATCCACAGATCAAATGTAGCGGTCCTACATGGAAGCAGAGCCGAGTAATCCGCTGGTGTTCCCCCAGCTTCCACACGCGCCGTCCCCCAGCCTCCACACGCGCCGTCCCTGTAGGGGTCTAGTAATTAAACCTCAGAATCGTAATTTAATCCTTTTAATGGCGCATGCGGCGGTGGGGATACCATTAGCAGTTAGTCGGCTCTGCTTTCATGTAGGGACCGCCATTTTTGATCCGCGGATCAGTAGATCCGTGGATCATCTGTTGTGAATGCCCTCTAAAATGTATAAAATGACCATTCCACTTTTTTACATCCTGGATATCTAAAAAATAAATATTCATATTTGTACCATATTTTCTTTCAAACATTTTGGGGATACTTCTTTTATAATGAAAACGAAAAAAAGAATGAGATGAAAACCGGGACGAAATAGGCAGAGCGCATATAAAATCCCTTCTAAGGTTGATAGTTTTAAACAATGCAATAATAATGTCTGCTTTAATTGTGTCCAACCCTGGTTGACGGGGTTCAAACGATGATACTTCGTGCAACATGATGACATAGGAGGAACAGAGGTGAAGGACAAGTATTTAATTGTTTCTTCAAAAATATATATCATCACAGGAAGGGGAAACCATTTTCCTTTTTTATATCGTGAGCATTACCCATTTTGCCCTTTGAAATGTGAAAGCAACTTAGTAGTAAACATTGTACTCAAGGGCATATTTTTCTTTTATTACTTATTCATGTTCTTGTTCGAAACGTGTTAAAATACATGTATAAGTAAAAGTGTAACGGGAAATGTCCTAAAATGGCTATCCTGCACTTCAGTCTATTTGTACTAGTGTGTATTGTTATGTACTTTGTACCAGTAGTGAATATGGCCGCGAATAAGCATCACGAAAAAAAGTGTTACCGAAAACAACAAAATGAACCAACACTTATAATGCCATTCTTACTTTAAATTTATTATGTAAACGTAAAATCTTTACCATGTTATTTTAAAAAAGCATTCAGAATGGGCAACCTCCGCCACGACAAGTAATTTAACTAATAATTAATCATAAGTAAATTAATTAATTTATCTTCACCAAAATCTAATCATTCCGTTTTGGCCCATTTCTTACCTTTCCTGAAAACTTAATAAACTAATGTGTCAATACCAAAATCTTATCATTTCTTCCTTGACCCATTTGTGACTCATTCTGAAAATTTCATCAAAATCCGTCCATGACTTCTTGCATAACAACAAACAAACAAACAAACAAACAGACAAACAAAAAGACGGTAACGAAAACATAACCTCGTTGTCGAAGGTAAAAATGATATGCTTTTCAAGAATAAAAACTTCTCCTCACAAACATACTGGGGGTATAGGTTTACAGGAGAATGAACTAGTGCCCATATGTACTAGTAACTGTACACCTTTGACTTATTTTTGAACCCCTCAAGGTACCCTGAAATTGATATGTGAGCCACATAAATTGCATAACGCCATACGCGTGCTTTGGCCCATTCATTCTAAATGGACACTGTCACCGATTCCGGACATCATTTTCGGCCTGGGTAGTGCATATTTTATGAAGTGGTACACTAAACGCCTGCATTTTGGAGAAAATGGCGAGCGCTCCGCCTCCGTACTACTGGCTGCGTAAATTGCGTTCCTTTTTTGTATTACACGACCGTGACTTGGACGGCGTAATAAGCAGAGAGGATGTTGTAGACTACCCTGTCAACCGAGCGAAAACATTCCTTGGGGAAACCAAGGCCAAGGACCTCGAGATTCTGCTTTCGCGAGGATGGGCTGATTTTCTCGGAGGAGATAACCAGACTGCTACGTTCGATGCGATCATAGGAAACTTTGCTCGCACTTTCACCGATCCCAATTTTAGCGAGGTAAACACGAAGATGGCCGAGCTAATGTTTACCGCCGTTGACATAAACAATGATAATATGGTGACTCTTGAAGAGTATACCAGAGTTCTGGAATGCTTTGTAGTTCATCCCCTGTCGGTCCAGCCATCTTTCGAGGCACTGGACGCCAATAAGGATGGTCTGATCAGCAAAGAAGAATTCATCGACGCAGCCCTACAGTATTTTCAGTGTACTTGCGAGAGTCCTGGTGCCCTATTTTGGGGACCACTCAGAGCCTAATTGGGAGGACAATTAATTTGAAAACATGACTGGCTTTGGTATGCCGTGATTTAATTAAGACAATGCTCTGCATGACGGTGGTATTGTGGTATACATTATCTCACATAAACAGTGGTGTAAAAATACTAACGGTCGTTGTAACAGAGTCCGCCCTCCTTGAAGGTTACCGTGACATGCACTTTGGTGGGTCAAAGTCATGGGCGGCGCTTACATGTACCTGTACAAATCAATAAGAAGCGAACCATGTTCATGTATCACAGGTAACTCTCTCGCACACGCCACCGATACAAGATTTATCACAAGCCATCGGTACAAGATTTATCACAAGCCATCGGTAAGGCTTTATCACAAGCCATCGGTACAAGATTTATCACAAGCCATCGGTAAGGCTTTGTCACAAGCCATCGGCACAAGATTTCTCACACGACACCGGTACAAGATTTGTCTTACAATGGCCGTTTAAGATTTTGAAGACAGATCATAGTCTTAATTATCGCCAATAATGGCAATATGTCAAATCTGTAGTAGGTTGTTTAGAAGGTAGGACTGATGCAAATCCTCTCACCATCTGGAGGACAGGAGGACAAACTCGACATTTAAACGTGCGTGGATTTACAAGAAAGCAACACTCAGGAATGGTCCATCACGCTCAGACTGCTATATATCACAAATTGAATGTTTATCAAATAAAACTCCATTTTTCATCGAAACAGGAAAAGTGTGTACAGTGTGTGATAATTACCATATTTTATCAGCTAATTTCATTTAGTGTCTCAACAGGTCTTTAGCAAGGGGTGGGGGTGGGGGGTGGGGGTGAACTCCCAAGACGGAGCATGTTGAGTGTATTGAAAATCTCGATTTTAATTTGTATCGAAAGGCTCACCAAATAAGCATAAGCAGCATCATTGCTATACTTCATGGGTACATTTGGAAGTCCAAAATATGTAGTTTTTTGTTCAACATACTATTTTAAATGTATCGTGTGTAAAAGAGACAAAATGCCAGGATTTTCAATTTACTCAACGTACTTCCGTTTTGGGAGATCACCACCTTTGGTAAGGGTACATGTAACATCAGTGCACTTGTGTCAAGATGAAAAAAAAAATAAATGTTTTTTAAAGAGACATAAAGAGCATTCACATCGAGAAGAGCCGAAGTCTAGCAAGGCCGAGACCTAAATATGGAGGACCTACATGAAAGGAAGGCCGCGTAATCCTTTAATGGTCTCTCGATGGCATTCACATTTAACACATTTAGAGAGCATTCATATCGATAAGAGCCGAGGTCTAGTAAGGCAGCGACATAAATATGGTGGACCTACATGAAAGGGAAACCGCTTAATCCTAAAATGGTCTTTCCGCCTCTCACACGGCTCCCCACGCGTCGTCCCTCGACCGGTTGAATTGAGCCGAGATTTAATTAGTGTGCCCCTGCAGGGACGACGCCCGGGAAGGCGGAGAGACCATTAATGAAATAATCGGTCTTCCTTTCATGTAGGTCCGCCATATTTAGGTCGCGGCCTTACTAGCACTCGGTTCTTCTCGATCTGAATGGTCCCTAAATATGTTATAACCTGTAAGGCTTAGTGTTTTACATACACGTACGTGTAATGCCGCACGCGGTCTTTAACCGGTTTTGAATAACTCCATATGAGAAAAGTAACCGATTTAAAGCAGTTTCGGTCTGGTTAGCACACATTGAATTTGGGAGACATAAGACATTGATACTTTGGAGAAAATGGCGAGCGCTCCGCCTCCGTACTACTGGCTGCGTAAATTGCGATCCTTTTTTGTATTACACGACCGTGACTTAGATGGTGTAATAAGCAGAGAGGATGTTGTAGACTACCCCGTCAACCGAGCGAAAACATTCCTTGGAGAAACTAAAGCCAAGGACCTCGAAATCCTACTATCGCGTGCATGGGCTGATTTTCTCGGAGGAGATAACCAGACTGCTACGTTCGATGCCATCATAGGAAACTTTGCCCGCACTTTCACCGATCCCAATTTCAGCGACGTTAACAGCAAGATGGCCGAGCTGATGTTTACCGCCGTTGACATTAACAACGACAATATGGTGACTCTTGAGGAGTACATCAGAGTTCTGGAATGCTTTGGAGTACATCCCCTGTCGGTCAAGCCATCTTTCGAGGCTCTGGACGCCAATAAGGATGGTCTGATCAGCAAAGAAGAATTCATCGAAGCAGCCGTACAGTATTTTCAATGTACTTGCGAGAGTCCTGGGGCCCTATTTTGGGGACCACTCAGAGCCTAATTGGGGACAATTAGTTCGAAAACATTATTGGTTTGGTTTGCCGTGACTTAATTTAGACAATACTTTGCATGACCGTTTTATTGTGGAATACATTATCTCGCATTAACTCTGGTGTAAATATACTGACTGTCGTTGGAACAGAGAGTCCGCCCTCCTTGAAGGTTACCGTGACATACAACGTGCACTTTGGTGGGACAAAGTGATGGACGGCGCCTACACGTACCTATACGAATCAATAAGAAGCGGACTCTATATCACACAGGGGCGGATTGAGACCGCCTTCTGGGTCTTCCGGAAGTATTAACCTTGAAATTAATCATAGTATTACAGGTGTATTACAGGTGTTTTAATTCATTGATCTTTGTAACATACATGTATGATGCCGTTGGAGTAAGTTGAAGTTATATTTGACTACTACATTTTAAATTTTTTGTACATAGTTTAACCATCAGATGTAAAAATATAATCTCAATAAATGCCTAGGTGGATTGAGGCCGACTTCTGGGTTTTCCGGGAGACGGTCAGATTTTAAAGTTTACAATGACGGGTATCTATTTTTTGTCGGAAGTCCGTCAAAAATGGAGGATGGATCAACAAAGATAATTTGGAAGACTGTCAGAAAATACCTCTGGATTCGCCCCTGTCACAGGTGACTGGTGATTCTCCCGCACATACATGTACCACCAGTGCAAGATTTATCATTAGTACAACATTTTATCACACGATACCGGTACAAGTTTTATCATACGGTGGACGTTTACCTGTAAGATTTTGAAGTCAGCTCATAGTCTTAATTGTCGCTCAGCATCATTGCCATACATCATGGGTACATTTGGGACGCAGAAGTCCAAGATATGAAGTAACTTGTTTCACATATTATTTTAAGTGTATCGTGTGTAAAAGAGAAAAATGACAGGGTTTTCAATTTACCCAACGTACTTTCGTCTCGGGAGATCACCACCTTTGGTTAGGATACATGTAACATCAGTGCACTTGTATAAAGATGGTAAAAAAAGAAATGGTTTTTGAATAGACTAAATGTGTTATAACCTAAAATGTTTGGTGTTTTGAATTCAAGTATTTGTAATGCCGCACGCGGTCTTTAACCCATTTTGAATACCTGTATGAGATAAGTAGGCCTAACCGATTTAAACAGGTTCGATCTGGTTAGTACACATTTAACTTGGCAGGTAGACATTAGACTTTGACACTGGAGAAAATTGTGCGGACAGATTTTCAAAATTCCCAGCACGTACAACAAAATGTAGGCTAACGCAACAGATGATAGACAGCCTAATCACAGGATATGTACCACATATCATAGCTTAATTTTTACTAATATTAAAATCAGCATTTAAGTTAAAATATTCAAGCGATTTAATAAAGTTTCAATATTCTTATTTATCCAGAACGGTATATTTATTTAAAAGAGGGCTAACTGAAACAAACTCTGGGCACTGAATGAATTACATGTTATGTCTGCTCGCATCGAGCTGAATTCTGAATAACGTTGCGGCACTGTTGTTCGATGCGAAACACTGATCATATAATGGAGAATGCATTTTTTTCGTCATGGTAGAGAAACATTGATAATTCATTGGAAAGGTATGTTTTATATACTTTAATCATACTCTCAAAAATGTTAAAACAAAAGGATTGCAACTGCCGACTATATTATTAATAAAAAAAGTTATTATTAAAAATAGTTGGATTGCACATGCGTATGTTCACAATTTCTTTTAGCAACTATTTTAATTATCTCTTCATTGTAAGAATGTTACTTTTTTTGATGCAACACATGAATGGATATAAAAGTGACAGCCTTTACTTAAAAGCCATGTGAATTCTGCTGTGGCCTGAACAGTCAAAGTCCTTTAGAACTTGGTCTATGTCTATCTTGAGCTCCCTGTGAACATGTAATAGTCTTAATAACGACAATCGTTTGTCAGACATGGTAGATCTTAAATAAGTCTTGAGACGTCTCATAGCTGTTGTCGTCGACACTGGCATGGTAAGGTAAACTTTGAGCATCCTATGGATATTGGGGAATAAACCGTAACTCGCTTTCACCGCATCTCCTACAAGTAACTCCACCTAAGTTATGCCCCCCGTGTCTACGGCTTGTCGCCAGAGTTCCAACTCAATGTTCACATTTTCACCGAGGACCAGACCATATTATTACCACTTTACTTTAGTCCATTCTTCGTCGGTCAGGTTGGACAGCAGCTGGGGGATCAAACTCTGTGCCAACAGTCGTGGGAAGTAGACGAGTCGAAATATCCGAAACCACATGGTCAGGAAAAGAGAGGAATGGACTTGCCACGCTGGGGACAGACACCTCTATGTCATGTTGGGCAGCAACCCCCCCCCCCCCCACGCCTCGTCTTAGAACCTGTTGTCCCTTTTCTCCTGATAGAGATCGCGCAATCTTGACGCTTGGGAAGTTGGGAGGATGCCTGAACCAGATCACAGTCTGTCTGCTGATCGAAGCAGCTTGCACAGAGGGACAGTGTACCGTAGTAGGCGATAATGCACGATAAAAAGAGGAGCGACGAATCCGGCTCCGTCATAGCCCTGCCCGACGAGATTCTCAAGGTCGAGATCCAAGTCCATGATGGTAGATGTTATCAGACCTGCTAAAGCTAGCGCTTCGCCGGTTGTTGCCTCAGTGCTGGCAAAAGTGACAAGCTTCTCTTGCACTTGAAATGTGGAATCTGCGTAGCGGAGGGAAAGGGAGACTTGCATTGTGTTATTGACATCTGCCGTTTCGTTGGCCAGGATGGAGAAATACAGGACAGCTTTGCATTCACGAATAATGCTTTCTTGGACTTGTTTGGCCATCAGGTCTAGTAATTCATTCTGAATGAGAGGCGATTTATATTGAGCGTTTCTTGGGCCCTTCACAATGTGCTGAGTCACAGTGTGAGATGCTGACAACCGAAGAAACGCGGAAACATTTGATCGTTCTTCAGTCTTTCCTCTTATTGGCACGTTTTGTTGTGCGCACGTCAACAGTGTTTTGGCTATGGATCTCAGAATGTCTCTGTTTGCTTCGACGCGTTCCTTAATAGGCTAGATGGATGGGATAGATGCTGAGTGATACTTGCTTCTACTCCACTGCATATGCGAAGAAACCCTGCAGCCCTTTGTACAGCGGCGCCGTGTCCCTGGGTAATAGATAAATCTTTAGTGACTAAACTGCAATGACTAAATTAATAAACATTTATGTCATCTTACGGGTGACGTCTTGATTGCTTTTTGGCAGTAAAAACTGAAAAATCGGTTTCTCAAATTTCTCTTTTACCTGAGCACCTATGATCACCGTTTCAACACTTATTTAATCACACCATTTAGTACTCCAAAACCATGCCAGCGATTTTTTTTGTAAGTCTTAGTTTAGATGTTTTTCGTTGATAAAGCTAAATAATTTGTTTAATGAAAATCTGTAATTAGGGACTAATAACTCCATAACTAAAACATTTACACCAAAATGACAATGACACTCCTGGTCTCTGCCTATTTTCATGATATAATCTTCTTCAGGGATGAAGATACGCCCCATACTGATTTTTACACCCTTACTGTATCTGTGATATTCAATTTCATTTTATTAAACCCTTGAGCCCTGCGGCTCATCAGAATGGAATACAGTGACAATATAAAGTCATATCAAAGCGACTACTACTACAACAACTTCTACTGATACAAATAATAATAATAATAACTACATGTACTACTACTGATACTAATACTATTACTACTAATTATAATAATAATACATCGGACGAACATTTTCAGTATTTTCCTAAGACACTGCTAAGTGATAATAATTTAATTAGTTTGAAGACGATAGGCTATGCATTTTCTGCCTAATCGTACTGTAGTGAGGGCATTTAAGGATAGGTGAAATTAATCATTTAAACTATATAATTTACAAGTTCTTAATTTTTTATTTGTGTCTGTGTACCTTCCAGTCTCTACAGTTAGATTATGTAATTAAAGCCTAAATTTAGCGATAAATTCCTTTTTTTGTGAAATTGGCTTATTCAAATAATATTGCACTGCGAAATTATCAACAAGATGTTGATAAAATAGACCTTTACTTGCTGTGAAAAATTCCCCGGTCAATTATTTGTATTATTATTTGTCTAAAATCTTTGTTCTATCAAACTTCCAAACTTCCAAATAGATCTGTGGGTGGTAGAGGCACCCGGGCAAAGAAGTATTTCAAACCTAATAAAGAATGGTGGGACGAGGAGATTCAAATAATGTGGGAAAATGTCAGGGATTCGGAACGCCTTTGTCATCAGTGAAATCAAATAGAAGAATCTCTTTACATTGGAAAAATGATTATGTAAGCAAACGTCACGCTTTTGATCGTGCTAAACAACGAGCAAAATGCCAGTTTTGGTGTAGATCGCAAGAAGAACTCTTACAAAAACAAACCAGTGATCCACGGAACTTTTAGAGAGATATCGGTCGTATTGGAATTCAGAAGGATGGGAAAAGCACCATTCCCATGGAAGTAGTGAGAGATGATGGAACTGTTTCCACGGATATCACTGAGGTTTTATTGAAATGGCAAAATGACTATGCAGTTCTATTTAGTGTGACAGATAAAATTGTGATAGTTTTGATAAATCATTCTTAGACCACCTTTATAGTTATAGACATGGTGAACTGGATACACCAGATCTGAGTGCCAGTATTTTAATAAAACACTGACATTATGTTCAAAGAAGTTGAGCTTGCAGTTAATGGTGCTAAGTGTGGTAAAAGCCCCGGGCTTGATGATCTGCCTTCGAAGGTTTAAAAAAACAATACAACTATTATATTTTTTATAACCTATTTGAGTACTGTTTTTATAATTCTGTTGTCCCTAGTGATTGGCTTAGGTCCGTCATTAATCCTATACCTAAAGGTAATGGTGTTAATTTATGAGATCCACTAGCTATAGAATATAGAGGAATAACATTATCGTCTAGCATATATAAGATATACACATCTATTCTGAACAGGAGATTATCGAAGTGGGCCGAAGATAATGAAATAATAGTTGATGAGCAGCCAAATGGTTTTAGACAAGACCGTGGGTGTTTAGATCACATGTATGTAATGTTTGGTATTATAGAAAATAGTTTAAAGCAAAAGCAGAGCATATACAGTGTATGCGTGTTACATAAAACAGTTTTAAGTGCACCCTAAAGACAAATCGGAGCAAAAAGAAGGCGTATACACCATTGGTTGCAAAAATCGTGATAAGTGTTCGTAGGAGAGACCAAACGTAAACTATCAGAAATTAAAGAGTTAAAGAACACAGAATAGAAGTTGAGAAAATGGACAATACGATGGTTTACACCAGAGACAGAAGTAAAGAATCGGATACACAAATGTGGAAATCTGCTCTCACAGATCACTCAGTAAAAGAGAATCACATCATTGATTGGGACAACGCCAGAATAATAGACAAGGAGAGCGAAGACTTTGCCAGAGGTGTCAAGGAGGCCATACATATAAGAACTTTAAAGAACTTCAGTAGGAACCAGGGGCGCTACCAGCTGGCTGACATCTATGATGACATTGGGGGAGGGGGGGGCGTAGGGGGACATTCATGGGATAACTGGTCAATGAATACATCTCAGCGTTACATCATCAGCGCATGACCAGTTTGTCCTGAGGAAGGCTCTTGAGTAGAGTCGAACATTTGACGGTAGGAAAGCATTGTCTGTGCAATTATTAATTCAAAAATTCATACCATCTTCACCTCCGAAAGCTTACTGCACTTGAAATGCTTAACTACCCTGATGAATACAACATCCACAGTGTAAGCTACAAGGGCAAGATGGCAGGGGAGGCTGTCTTCGTTGAACCGTATGATGACGAACTGAGAGCTGTTTGTGGACCTGGTCACTGGTTAGCTTCAGTTCACCTGTATGCTGCAAGCACTGCTCTAAAAGTACCTCTCCATCCGTACTGTCCACCAATTCTCCATACTGAATTCCTGTCAGTGCCTCTGACAAGAGTTATATATGGGAGTGGAGCTTCAACCAATCACCGTCCGGATATAGTCCTAACTTAAATGTGGACTAGTACCTCAGTGCCTGCCACTCAGGATGACTTTAGACCAAACCAATTTGTGGTTCTGGTGAAAAACAGGTTGCAAAGACATGAGAAAACATAAACCTTACATGTAAAGATATGAACACATCAGATTCCCTCCCAGATATAATCACCATAGGTCCGCCCATCTCACCCCAGCAAACAGATGTTGACCCTGATGAACAGACCTTCCTCCACCTGGTCTGCTCTTCGTGTGCCAAGATAGGCCACAACAGGTGAGTGAGTCAGGTCAGGTAGAGACAGCACGCCCCCTGCCGACGACCGTCAATATTGTGACATCATATCTGTCATACCTGTCATTGTCTGAGATCATTCACTCCAATTCGGACGTGTGACAGACGATCGACGATCCTAAGCAATCTGACAGAGCATTAGCCACAGCGATCACTCTCCAATTCAGTAGGCTAAGTAGACACAGTGAATATTTTAAGACCTTACTAGAGGGAAAAGAAAGACCACATTTCGCCATTGTTGAGTATATTGGAAATTTCCCTGGGAGAGCTGCACATCGGAATGCAAGAAAAACAACAAGGGCATACATCAGAACACAACCACACGTTCTCGAAAGAAATGGAACAGCTACCTGTAGCAACACTTGGAAACCCAAAAGCCATATATGAGGAACTCATTCGTGAAGCACCAAGAGAACAAGACAAGCCTTCAAACTTACGCCAGGTGCAAAATAAATTGCAGAAATCAAAGGCAAGAAGTGATGGTGCAAGCAGTGGAGGGTCCAACTTGGCTGCAACTGTGAATTATCTTCAGAGTCAAATTCGCCACAGTGATTTCCTTAGGAAAGTCAATAAAGTGTCAACAATAATTTGTTACACTGACAAACAGATTCAGGACTTGAAGCGTTTTTGTTGCTCAGGTCCTGTGGCACAAGCCACAGTTCTTGGAGTTGATAAGACCTACAATTTAGGCCAATGCCACTTCACCACTATGGTATTCAAAAACTTAAGTATTGTGCGAAACACACAAACTCTTATCCGATATTTCTCGGCCAAATCCCTATTCATGGAAATTCGGAAATTCGTACGTAGCTGATATTCGAACGTAGGTTAGAAGATATACTCCAATTTATAAGGAACAGTGTTCCAGAGTTTAAAGTATATTTCACTGAACACAAATGTAAAACTATATTGTTTAACGACAGATCTTACATTTAGCAACTTGCTTATAATTACGGGGCACTTTTATTATTTACACACGAATAACGGCGCACTCTGCCGGCGATACATACACGTATGATTAGTGAAAACACCTGCAAGTTAACTATATACATAAATAGAAATACACTTAGTAGTAGAAGATGGCTTGGATCAAAGGGCGGTCCAGCAGAAGGATTTGGGCATTGGTCCACCAAAGTACACGTACCATGTCCCTAGTGTCCCGTCAAAGCTTCGTGAGGTATGGAGAAGACAGAATGGAGCCAATAGGCAGCACGCCTGACACTGAGTGTGTCAGATATAAGGTGAGGCGTATATACGCGCCAGGTCTATTTTTGAAGGGCTAGCTTGGCGTTTAAATTCTGAACTCGTGCATGCATACGTGCGTGCGTGCGTGTGTGTGTGTGTCTGTGTGTGTGTGTGTGTGTGTTTGAAAGTGGATGAGTTTTCGCCCATACTTTAGAAAGCACCCAACTGGTCATTGCATTGCAGTCAAGCCTTGTATAAGACCATCAACCTTCTGCTGTGAAAGTATTATCAGTATAATCAGTAAATATTAATTGTGATTTGATATTTATTGAATAAAAACGAATGAAGACGATTAAGAAATAATTTTTAAAATGCGCCCATAACATAGTTAAATGTTAATAGTGTTATTCTCCACGTAATCTTTTTTACAGAGTCGGTGATACATGTGTAAGTAATGAGAAGTTATATTCGTGTGCCCTTGAATGTCTTGATTCACTAACACCCGCATTGCAGGTTTTTATTGGCGCACTTAACAAGCCTAGCACTGTGCGATGTGTTTGTTTCTACCTAGCATGACTTACAAGTACACAATGTGAAATGTGAGCGATTCTTAGTGAAATTAATGCACTGAAACAAATATTTCCTGGTTTTTTGCTGGAAAGTAACAGCAGTTTTGAACTCCTAAAGGTACGCTTAAATTGATATGTGAACCATTATTATTGCTTAACGACGCATGTGTGCTTTAGAACATTACTTCTAAATTGACACAGTAACCGATTCTTGACATCAGTTTCTGGATTGGTAGTGAATATTTTATTAAGTTGTACAGTAAACGCCGGCATTTTGGAGAAAATGGCGCGCGCTCTGCCTCTTTACGTACAAGGCACAAAAAATTATCTTTCCGATTTTTCAGCCTCCGCAGAATGCCGTCCGAACTGTGCAAGCTAGGCTTTACAAAGCGCAACTGAACACCCTTTTTCCGCAGGGGTCCTGCCTTGCTATAATTTTCTCCAACAACACAACA